GGGGGGGGGGGTTGCTGTGAGTCAACACGTGTACCGCACGACTCATAACTTTTGTCGTTTGCCCATATATTTATATATATATATTTGGTGTTCTTATTTGAATTATATTTACATTATGTACAGCTATTGTCGGGTGGTTACTCACGTGTTGATTATCTGTTTTCGGACTTATCCTTCAGATATTTTGCTGGTTATGCCTTGACCTTTGCGTCGAAATGAAGTATTCTTATTTCAGAATGTACGCTAGCAAAAAAAAAAAGAAAAAAATGATTGATCGTAATAACAACATGGCACTTTATAAGTTTTAATTGATTCCATTTATTTTGTAAAAGAAATGGGGGCATCTCACTACTGAGTAATAGAGTGGAGATGTTTCCATTTTATATTTACTAAATTCTTCTTTACCGCCGTTATTCGATATAGTTTTGATAGTAATAGTGACCAGTTTTATTGCCATACTATTAAATATTCAGTTTACAATTTTTTTTATTCTTACTTCGTCTCTAACATAAGTTTTTTTTTATTCTCAATCGAAAAGGTTAAATTGGTGGACGAAAATTATTCTTGTGATTCCTGTGTTGACGATGATTGTTATTTTTATTTTGGTGATTATAATTCTTGTACCTTAGGTATTGTTCTGGGATGATCTTATTATGTTGATGCATTGACCATTTTTTTTTCGAGACTGGGTAAAAATTTCGGACGTTCACTTTTAGGATGTCCGTGAAGTAATTCAATTTTTTTCCCGGAAGTTTCCTATCGGCATTTTATTGTTTTTTCTTTATGTTGTGGGATATGGAATAAGATCGCTTTATTCTTCTCAACTTGTCAAGTAGGAATCGACAATAGAAACAGGGCCATTAAGGCCATTAAGGTTATTAAGGCCCAAACTAATGCGTACAAATACCCAATCCGGGTTGGGGCTCAGCATTGGGGCAATTCTCTTTTAACCCCAAAAATGATAACCTCATTACGTACTTCTTCTACAAGATTTGAACGAGGCTTAGGTCCCAAACTCAATTGGAGCCTTGATTACCGAACGCCTAAAGAAATAGACGACAGAAATAATAGATCAAAGTTAAATTCCCCATATGGTCTATTAAGTTGGGTAAGTTTTAACATGTCTCGGATGTTGGGACTATTTTTTTTTAAAGTTTCTTCTGCCTAGCTAGATTAGCATACTTTAAAGACTTCGTCGCTCTTCTTTTAAATAAATGTTACATTTTCACTAGAGGGTATTTGTTTATATAACTTCTCATTACTGAATCACTTTTTTACGAATTTAGAGTACTTCTTTACTACGCAATGCCTCAACAGAATAAGGCTGAAATATGAAAAGAAAGAGAATAGTGAAAAGATTCGTGAAGAAAATAAAGCACCAATTTTTGTTTTCCTACCAAAATAAAAAGTACAAAAAAAGATTAATGTTAGAGTATATAGCATTGAAGAGATCTCTTTCGTTCCTTTTTTTATCCGCGTTACTAATGGCTGATTCTGGAGAGTCGAAAAACCTTTCTTGAATTTGTACTTTGTTTTCGCTGTTTATTAACTTGTAGTCACCCACGTAAGAATTTTTGAGCGTACAAAAGTGGCTAATGTGGCCAGCATCTGCTTACCAACATTCAGTTTTAGGATACTTGGTCAGTAGACTGCTCAGTATTGTTCACCGATACTCGGCTGTTCTATATTCGGCCAATATGTTGGCCCAAATCGCTGCAATGAGGTTCGGTTGTGAGATGGTGGTCCAATGGTAAAGCCCTTATCTGTTGAATAAATATTCATTAGTCGATCATTGTCCAATCATGGGCCCTACATAGCTTCTCCAATATTCGTTAGTTGAAATCTTTATTCACTTAGACCAGATGAATAATAAATGAGAAAAATTTGGAGAAGCTGGCGGTTGGATAAAGGAAATTCTCAGTAATCTAGCGATGAGTTTATTTTTTTTTTCTTATATTCCGGCCCTTTTTAGCTAGCTCGCTCTATTCTACCTTATGCATGCGGCTGTGGATCTTCCACTGTATCATATTCACTATCCTATAGAACATAGAAGTGACATTGGAAACCACAGGAAAAACCATGTCGATACAGGCGCTTGCTCTGTTAGCAACCGCCTGCTCATCGGTGCCTGTTGAAAAATTCGATTCAATGGGGAATCGAACCTACAACTTTCAGAACACTATGCTCGCACATAGTTACTGAGCCACCGACGACGGTGCACTAATGAGTTTATGGATCGATCAAAGAAGGATAGAAATTGCGCAAAATCAACTAATTTAAATTTGTAAAGCCCTTTTTATTTTGTTACTACAAGACTCAGGTATTGCGTCAGTGCGTAGGGCATAGGACTAGTGTACAAAAGATGGGCAGTTCGAGTCTCATCCGGTGTACAATCGGAGTTCGTCAATTATGTTTTTTGCCGATCGATACCGTTGCGACTGCGATTACACGGAGAGAAAAATCTATGAATTTTTATATTGTGATTCCGATAAAAATTATTGTGCTGCCTTACAATCTAGGTGTAAACTGCAGGCCTAAGAAAAATTACTATGCCATGCAGTAACATTTCTTCATCGGCCGAGCAAAACTTCGTTATCGGCCAAATAAAAATTTATAGTCGTCGCAACAGTTACCATTGTTAAATTCAACTTTGGCAACAATCGGAAACATTCGACGTTCATCGCTAACCAATCATATTGGGTTAAAAAATGTTTGGAGAAAATGCTGTGTAGCACAGTAAAAATTAAAAGAGAGCACAATAAAAAATATCGATCTGGATAGGAATTTTTGAAGGATTTCTATCAATTTTTCTGTCACACTCAAACAAAAAATGATAGACCTTCAAATTTTATAGTGCTGTTTAGTAAATTTTATGGGGCCACACATGATTAATTACGGAATGTATAAGAAAATTTGACATATTGATAGTAATTTTTATTTATGAATCAAAGAGGTTCTAGTATTCTAGCGTTTTTCACCACGATTGTACTGCTCGGCACCGTAATTGTTCTTGGATTTTTCTCTCCGGGTAGGGACCATTAATAAAGCATGAGCATGAAGATTTCTTTTTCACTTTGTGTTAGTCAAATTAATGAGTACATCAGTGCCAACCAGATACCGAGCAGTTGCAGTAAACTAAAAGATTATTTATATATTATACGAGTTTCATTCAATCGCCGTGAAAAGATTGATAGCGTCATGAATTTCAATAAGAAACCAATATTATTAATATTTTCGGGTAAAAATAATGAGACTCGGATGTCAACGCTTGTCCAGTTTTGTCCACCGATAATGGAGTCGGAGTTATCATCCAAGGCTGGACAGAATATCTTGGCGCACATCGACTCAACGAGGCTTGGTTTTCAATGTTAGGCCCATGTTAGAGGCACAATCTTCTATTGTTTTCCGTGACTAGATTCTTTCAAGCACCCTGAAAAGATTCACCAAAGCATCAATTTCATCAAATAAAAAAAATGATTATTATTTTCCGTAAAAAATAATGACACTTGGCTGCCAAACAGTTGTCATTATTAGGCTCATCATCAGAACCGATACCGGATCGGGGTTATCATTGCTTGGCTGGAGTTTCGACAAATTTTGATTGCGAACATCGACAATATTGGCTCCGACATCACGTCGAGCAATGGTCGAACCCGCTGATTGTATATGGCTTGGGCCGTGTGGCACAGTCTATTTTTGCCGTACTACGGGGTCATAGCGAAGCCCCCTGCCTGCGCTTCTGAATTGGAAGGGGTTTATCCACTGCTATTATGGGAAAGGTTTGTCAAAAATTACTTGTGTGAAGGCTGAACTTGTTGTAATTTAAATTCATCGCTTGTCCACTGATTGTATTGGTTCAAATTATGTAGCAGAGTGGTATCGACATATCAATAATTTCCAGGATAAAGTGTATTTTTTGCCCCACCTGCACGTTTCTGCATATATTACATATTTGGCAGTGTCTAGAGACACGGTATATGGCGATTGCCACGCGCCCAAGGTAACGTTTACCATATGTTTAAGCTCTTTCTTGCCATACACGTATAGCAAAAGCCATACACGTATGGTAAAAGCCGTACACGCACGGCAAAAGCCGTATACGAATGGCAAAAGCCATACACGTATGGTAAAAGCCGTACACGCACGGCAAAAGCCGTATACGAATGGCAAAAGCGATACACGTATGGTAAAAGCCATACACGCATGGCAAAAGCCATGTGCGTATGGCTTT